TTTCTGCCAATCAGTAAAAAAAAAAAAACCAAGTAGAAGCTGTGCTATTATTAGTATGAAAGGCACTGCCTAATGGTTGACAGCACAATATCTTGATTCCTCCAGTCGGCAGCCAACAGCCAGCAAGCAGGTGAAGCTGTTCAAGACCTGCTCTCTCTCTCTCTCTCTGACAGTCACATTTAACTGATCGGTAGTCACCATATTGACATACAGCCTCACATCAGTATCTGCTGGCCTGAACCTGCTTATTGAACGCAAACCAGCTTGTGTGGAAAGTAAATGCTGCTGTAGTGATATGCTACCTGCAGGTAGCTCCTTCTCCCTTTGTCTAAGAGGCTGAGTGATTTCATAGTGATGTGAAAGAAGCCTGAAGCTGCTTCGTTTGCATAGATTACATTCTTGCTGTTGTTAGATGTGTGTGTCTGCCCAACTTTGTGTTGTTCTTCATGACATGACAGTGCGGCTGAAGGGATATAGTTTGACCACAAAACTGTCTCTCCCAGGCTCTGAACACTTACTACCTCACTTGTTTTTCCCCTACCCTCATTGACAACAGCTTTTGATGCTGCAGAGAGGCTCAGGCTGACTGTCTGTCTGAGAGGTGATCACTTTTCCACCAGTAAACTTGCTTCTTGAGGAGGACAGCTTGTACTTTATCATATGTGTACCCCTGGTGGTTTTGTCACTGACTAAAATTTAGCCAGGTGACCATAGTGATCTGTGTTTGTGATGCTGCACTGTTGGTTGTTTCTAGTAGGTAAATCCTTGTCTCTTGATACTGCCACAGGATAAGGGCGGGATGCCTTTGGGGTTGCTAAATGAGCTCCCGAAGGAACGCAAACGTGCACCAGGTTTTGTCACACAGTATCACACATGTTGACAATTGAAGTTTTGTATCTTAAAAATGTTTTTCTGCTCTTCCCCCAGGTTATCCTCAACAGTGAGTCACTAGGCTGACAGTTGGGCTGATGGTAGGTGGGTTTTTCTTTTTCTAATGTGTCCTCTTTTTCTCTGTTTCACTCCTCTCTTAATGTCTGCATCCTTCTCTTTATTCTGACAGCCTCTTGCACCTTTCTGTCACCACCCTCTTCAGCCTGTTTACTCCTGAATTCGTGTATGATTCATAGGAGCGTGCATCTCTCCCTCTCTCATGATTCAATATATATTTCGATACATGCTCCACGTTTTGATACAAAAACAATACTGCAACATTTGTAATGATACAGTACAGTATGATTCAGTGATTTAGATTCAGCAGACTACACATACATTAAAGTATCTGTTTAGGGTATAAAGTTAAAGAGTTAGTTTTGTATTTCAAGCAGTAAAAGACAAATAGATAAAGCATGATGTGTAATCTTTTTAACAATAGTAGGCAATGGGCTCTGGTTTATAAACATACGCTTTACACTGCTGACATTGCTTCATTGTGTGGTCTTTGTATCGTGTTAATTAACCTGGGTCCAACCTGTTTTTCTTTGCTTATGTGTTTGTTCATGAAACCTTGGCCTGTTTGAATGTTAAAGAATTCAGAGGACTTCACAGCTGTCACTGAGGCAGCCTGTCTGCTACCATCTTCAACTGATGGCAGAGTATTTACTTATGTTATTATTTTTATTAAATTCATTATGCATTCATACTGGTTAATGCTGTCCAGTCTACTGACCCTAGTCTTAGTGTGCACACTTTCTGACGTTAGCATGACATTTTAAAGATACGATAGTCACCAGTTAACGTGAAAGTTAGCCTTTGTATGTTAGTGATCTAGGCAACGTTTTGGTGTCTCATAATCCATAGCCTCTCTCTCTCTCTCTCTCTTTCTGTGTTAGACCAGCATGGCTTCTTGTTTCTGATTTAAAGATACATGCTTCCTCTTTGGATTCATTGCCCTGACCGCCATTGAGCTGATTCAACCCTCCATCAGATAGTCCCATCTCCTCTTCCATTGTTCCTTCCTTTACTTTACTCTATTCTAGTCATCTCTCCTCCAGTTGTTGTCTTGTTCTTACCCTCGGCATGCTTGACAGATAGAGAGGCAATTGATAGCACACTGTTTAATAGGACAATGCCTCCCAATCATTCATGAGAGGTCAGCAGGGCCATATGCAGCAATGGGCTCCAGTTCAGGTCAGGGAGCTAGAAGAGAAGCAGGAGGATCACAAGGCCTAGAGTTAAAGAGGGCCTCTTCACAGTCGGATCACCCCTCCTTCAGTAAGATGAGCCAAAACACCAGGGAGAGCATGGGGGTTATTGGCCAGGGACTGAAACAGCTGTTCTAGCAGCATCGTAAATGCCTCTCCCTTTCTTGCTCCACTTAGAACTCCTTGTGTCCCTCCTCGTCTTCCTCTCTATTGTCAGCAGGTGACACCTCCCCCTCTGCCCCTGAGGATGCCTCGGGTTCTTCCTGTGCTGAATCTCATTGCTTATATGCTCCTGTGATTCCTTCTGCAGCTGGTCAGGGCTCAGCCACTGTGGGCATGATGAGGCGTGGGACCAGCCTGCAGAGCCGGCGCAGTAAGGGGTCCAGGTCGGGATCTGGGAGTGGAGACCGCGATCCTCTCCTGAGAGGTAGCCCCCAGGCCCCGCACCGTCGCAGCACTCACGATCCGCAGCATCATACCAGCCGCCCGCGCTCCTCCTCCACCACTGACACCATACCCATCAGCCCTGCCCCTGGATACACCAGCAGTGATGTGGTGCTGTCATCAGGATACCAGTCCACGGAGGAGACGGACAGGGTAAGTGACAGTGGCCGTGACTCGTATCATCACAAGCAGGCAGTAATATGTCTTTCTTCCCCTTTTGCTGGTGTCAGGCCTTGTTGTCAGTGAACTGTCCATCAGAAGATGTTCACATTGCTACTGATATAATATTCCCTGTTGTTTCAGCTGTGAACACAGGGAGAAGGCCTGCCATTAATGCTGTCTGAGTGCTGTCTATCGATTAAGGGCAAAGATGTTGTTTTTTTTTTTTTCTTGGCCAGCTTTAATACAAGCTGAGACCAGATATCTGTAGTGCAGCTTTGCTAGCAAATAAAACACACAACACATCCATGCATGTTTAAATATACACTATAGACAAGTGAAAAGCCAGAGACTGCCACAGTCAGCTTTTCTTCCATTTAGTTTAAAGTTGTAATAGTGTTTAAAGTTCCTTCTCATAGTGGTGTGAAGTAGTAAATAACTGCTTCTGATTCCGCTGGAATCAAGATGATCACGATTGGCTTTTATCTGACTGCCACGTGTGTATACAGTATGTGTAATTAAATTAAGTCCCTACACATTTTGTACACCTGGATCATTTATCGCATTCTTCCTGGCAGATCCTGTCAAGCTCTGTCAGATCAGATGGGAAGCTGAGAACTGCCATCTTCATGTCTCTCTGCAGATGTTTTACAGGTTTTAAGTTTGGGCTTTGCCTGTTTCACTCACAGACAGTCAGAGATTTGTCCCAGAGCCATTCCTTTGTTGTCTTGGATGTATGATTAAGGTCATTGTTGTGCTGAAAGGATCTCTTTGTATACAGTTACATTTTCCCCCTCCCTCAAGTCTTACCAGTCTCTCTGTCCCTGTTGCTGAGGACCCACACAACCTGATGCTGCCACCATCATGCTTCACCATAGGAATGGTATGAGCAAGATGATAAGATGATGACTGTTGGGTTCTTGGTCACCTCTGTGGCCAAAGCCCTTCTCACCCAGTTACTCAGTTTGACTGGACAGCCTACTCTAGGTGGTTCCAAGCTTTTTCCATTTCACAATTATTGAGGCGACTGTGCTTCTGGGTAATGGTCTTATACCCTTGGCCTGATTAACACCTCACCACAGTTTTTTTGTGGAAGTCTTTTGAGAATTCCTTGGACTTCATAGCTTGGTTTCTGTCCTGACATGCATCATGAATAGTGGGACTTTATTTACTCAGTTCAGTTTGCCTCCAATCAGGTTTTAGATAGAAAAGCTGACAGGATGCAGTTAATATCAGTGTGTTTTCAAAATGTTTGTTTTGTGTTCTGTTTGCATAATCAACTATTTATGAATTACTTTTCTATTTGAAATAACACTTGATTTCTATATAGCTGGTTTATGGAAGAGTGGTGTAAAAGTAATGAATGGGGTGCCATTTTTGCAGTGTCTATACTGGAAAATAAGAAGCTTAGGTGTTTTTGTATGTTGGATTTTGTTTCCAAAGGCCCCACATTCACTTAAAATCAAATCGTTAAACTTAACTTCAAGTCCTGATTTTGAACTGCTCTAGGTATTCCAGACTACAGTTTGTTCTGTCTGCCACTAGAGGTCACTGTCAGATCAGCTAACCTGCTGTCCCTGGGCTCGATTCTTGTGAAGGATGTGTTTATATTGAGCTCATTCATGACTGGCCTGATCCTTGGATTAATGAAGAAAGCCATGCCAAGGACTCAGTATCAATGTGTTGAAGAGAGTGATAGCTGGCTACTTAAACTTCCACTTTAACTGTCAGCTTTAATCTCTGAGCTAAATTTGATATAGTTCTTCCTTCCCCATTTCTTTATTCGTAAACCTGGTATCCTTCAGTTTTGTCTAAATGACCTTACCTGCGATGATGGAGCAGGGCTGAGAGCCAGAAATCTATGCTCCAGTAGATGACCATCAACCTTTCTGTGATGTGTTGTTCGCCATTGGCAGAGATGGAAACCTGTCTCATTCATCCCTCACTAACATCACAGCTCCATCTCTGCCCAGCAAAATGACAGTGCCATTCAGGTCATCCAAGTGGTCACCGTGGTTATGTTGAAACTTAGAACTATGCCCTGCTTGGGTTGCCATAGTAACAGCATGGTCGACCTTGGAGGTGTGTAAGTGTAGTGTAGGTGGAGAGTGGTATGGTGTAGCTGGTCTGATTTTGTGGGTGTGTCAGGAATGGTGAATGTTGTTCAGATTTTTCTTTCTTTTTTCATTTTCCCTCTTGTGCTTCCCTTCCCCTTTCTTCCTCTTTCTCTCTATTTCCCTCTCTGTCCCTGTCTTTCTGTCCCTGCAGAGAATTAGCACAGACACTCCCTCCTTCTTTCCCGTCTCCCCCTCTTCTACCTCCTCCTCACCCCACCCTTCAGCTCACTAACAGGAAGCAGGAGGCAACCTTGCCTCATCCTCGATGAGTAAGAGCTGAGCCTAGCTACAGTATGTGTGCATGTGCTTATCAGTGGCGTGTTCGGGAGAGGATGTGGAGGGGTGTGTATACGTGTGACTGTGAGACTTCTTCTTTTCTACTGTATCTATGGTCCAAGTACTGAGTATGTGTGTGTATTAGAAACCATGATGTGGGGTGAGCATCTTGTGTGAGTGGCTGTGTCTGTGAGATAAAGCGACAGAGCTCAGGGGATCACTGTGAAGATGAGTAAGGGGAAACATAGCTGAGCTGTCTGTACTTGCTGTCCCTCCCTTTTTTCATGTCTTTCTCTTTTGTGTTTGCATAGTAGACAAAAGTGGCGTGGACTAGAAATGTGTGTGTACGTTGATGTTTGGAGAGGAGGGTAGCATGTGTGCCTTCAGTTGGTGTGTGTGTGTTAGGCTGTGTATACTTTGGAGGGATATGAGTGGAGACGAGTAGAACGGGGTCCAGCTGTGGGTCCGTCAGTAAGTCAGGATGGTGCAGCGCTTCAGTCTTCGTAGGCAGTACTCCAAGGTAAGCTTAAAACACACATGCTTGTTTTGTCTGTCTTCCTGTCTCCATGCTGCAGCTCCTTTCATGACTAAGGACACAGTTAACTTAAGGTTTTTCTGCTGGCGAAGTCTTTTATCGTCTTTAAAATGCTTGTGTGATGATTTTTCATGTCATTTTCCACCTCTCTGTCTCTCTTTCTTTCTCTCTGTCTTCCAGCTATTTGGTGTTTCACAAAGAGTTTGACTTTGTCTGCTCTATCAGAACTTTGATTGCTTGTTCAAGACAGTAGCCAAAATGCTAAAAACTGACTCTGTTGTCATGTGGAGAAACAGTGTGCATACCAGGCAGTTGGCAACTCTGGACAAAGCATTGTTTGCTCATTTCTTGCATATTAATAGTTGTGTCCATTTACTTTTAGGTAGTATGATCCATACAGTAACTAAGTCTTTCTTTGCACTTTATCTCAACGGTTGTTAAACAGTAACTTATGCTGCAGCAGCCTATAAGGTTGATCGGCGCCGTTGCCAAGGGGTGTAATTATTGATAAGCATTATGTTATATCATTGCTGATTAGGGAGCATTTGGAACTCATTTGCTTTACCAGGCTACTTTAGCATGCTCTGTATCTGTCCATAAGTTTGAAATATTTGTCCCTTGGTGGTAGCACTCGTAAATAGAGTAGAGGGGCTAGGTTACAATTCAGCATTAGGTCTGTTAAGAGCCCTCTGTTCTGCAGCTGGTGCTCAGCCTGTGGGAGTAATTATGATTAGCTGCTGATTAATTGACTGACTACACCCTTCCTATTCATGGTTAGCTCTGTGATGGTACATTTTCATATACCTGGAGGCATCAGTATTTACATGCACAAATGCAGTGACAGAAGTGTAGTCTCACTTTCAGTCTCAAAGGTATGAACCCAGCTTGATGCAGTCTGATCTATTCTGGACTTCTCAGCGGGATGAAGAGATAAAACTGGAATAAAAACAGGTAGGAAGTGAAGTGCTGGAAAGCGCAAGCTGTTTAATGTCAGGATGGAAGACTAGTTTAAAAGAAGAGATGGGAGTGGATTCTAGTGGACTAGAGCTAATGAACTGAGATGCAGCAGAAGTCCAGCCTTGAGGTCAGTCCTTTCGCACCATAGATTTATTTTATTTTATTTTTTTTAAGTGTGAGAGACTGAAGCTGTATTTGTCTTTGTAGAATCTAACCATATTCCGTAACCTAGTCCCCTCCAAAAATGGGATGTTGGAAAGTACTGGAAAGGAGGAAGGTTAGGTAGATGACCTGTCTTCCTTTGCATCCTTTGTTTTCTATTGTCTATCACCATATTTTGTTTCCATGTCAGAGATAATGTGCTGTGTTTTCCAGCAGTGTCCCTAATACCTAATCCCAACTCAAAACTAAATGCCACATATTTAAACAGTTCAGAGGAGAAGCTGAAATCACACAGCTGTATGCAGACTAAAGCTGGAAATACTCTCAGCAGTGTGGTTTGATATTTAAAAACATTTGTTTTTATCCTATTATGTTTTTATTAAGAGCTCAATATCATATACAGTGCAATGCAGTTTCACTTTTTAGCATCTTAAATGTATTTTGTATCATTGTCTTGGTTTGGAATCATAAGATGATACAATGGGACTGATGTAATGGTGGATGTATCACAGAAAACTTTAAAAGCATGTATGTTATGGCATACTGCAAAATGTTTTTAGAAAACAACATAAAACTTTTGTTATAGCTTTGTCTCTTAACTTTCTTTAAAAATAGATGATTTTTGGGTCAGCGAAATCATTTCTGTCTATTTTTCTTTTGAGCAACTAATTGCTTAATCATTCCAGCTCTTGTTTGTTCCATTTTTCAGCTCACATTCAATCCAGGTTTTGTAGTGTCAGATTTTAATTACATATGTGAAATAAATATAATGGCTGCCACTAAATGGCACCACACAAGGGTGAATTGTGATGCACGTCAAAACACAGCAACCATTATTGTCATTGAATGCCCACACACCTGCAGCGAACTGATGGGCGTGATTGTGGGTTGACACACATCAACGCATCAGGATATGCTTTTGTCCAATTTTCCCGGTGTGCATTGCCCTTCAGAGCTTAGAACTTAGAATGTTTATTGCCATTTTCCTTGCGTATGCATACGCAATATAAACAAATTCATTTCTCCCATTTCACAGCAATGCAGGGGTAAAAACAAGAAATAAATAATTTAATAACTCACTAAAGCATACATTAAAGAATAAATATTTAAATAGCATTCATCGAGCACTTAAAGGAGTTGTAGCAAACTCCTAATGAACAACAAACAAACTAATGAAATATTACATTTAGTTTGTGAATTTTTGACAGCCTTCACTTAGGAAGGGTTTTGGTGCCTGTGTGTAATTCCACCATTGATGCTGACCTGTACGAGAGCAGTCAGAAGTATCAGTGGAAGGTGCTGAATGTCACCTGCTTCCCCGAGGCTTGTTCTGTCCCTGCTAGTTTAACATCCCCATCGCTGCGCTCCCATCATCTCTCACCTCCCCAGGCTACTGGTTGTGTTCATGAAAGCTGTTATGCCTTTTGCAGCAGGACACAGTGGCTCATCCTGGAACTATTTTAGTGACACTCAATTATTTGAAAAGCTGCAGAAGACCAAAAACAGGGTATTGCAAAGTCTCGTTCACTTATATACAATCAGGGCTGCAGATACACATGACAACTATCAGGTCTAATAAAAACACTGCCACAGCAGATTGCCCTGTGGTCATGGTAAACAGTCACAAAAGCATACAGTCAAACCTGTGTTTAATCAACCAACTGAGTTTCAGAGAAAGAGAGAGAGAGAGCCATGGGGATGATGAAGCATATGTTTGGTCAACACTGGAGGTGATGTCATCCCAGCGCTGTGTTTGCCAACCACCATCCCATAGCAAATTATCTTTCAGGCACTGTGTGTGTGCTGCTGCTGTCAGTGCAACATCAGGACTGTCAGTTGTTGACATCAACTGTGAGACCTTATTGGAGTATTCCAATTAGATGAGTAAGTAGTGTAAAGCTGCTAAGGGCAGATCTGTGGTTGGTACAGTGTTGACTTTTGTAAAAGAACAAACAATTTTCTTAAATGTGTTACACTCACGTTTCTGCAGCCTTTCCCCTTCTCTTGTTCCTGACCAGTTATTTACAATTTAGCCATTTTCCCTTCCTGTCTCTCCCCACTCGTCTTCATCTGTGAGAAACAAAATACTCCTTTTTGGTTTTGTTCTTTTTTTATGACAAGTGTAAACATTGCCTTGTCTACTTTTCTCCTGTGGACAGTAAGTTAATTAAACCAGTAGTGGTGTGTTTGTGTAGAGGTCTATTTCTATGCTATATTGTGGGTATACAGGTTTGAGTGTACCTATGACCGGGAGATGTTATTGATCAGCAGATCAAACACTATGACTAACTTTTAATTAAGCACAATGGGCCTTGTGTTCTGGTCCTTTATCCTGTCCTGTTTCCTGCTCTTTACATTAATTGCTACCAGGAGGTGTGTGTCTGTTTATAATATATGTGCCTGTTTGTAATCAGATTAGTGTCCAATTAAGAAAAGAGTTGGGCCAGCATGAGGTTCCAGAACAGCTCCAGTGTTCCTTGACACAGATTGAAGAACTCTCCTTTGCGGGGATGCAAAATTAAATTCTTTGTTTTCAGGTTTGTGTGCTTTCTGCAAACCGGTGGGGGATACACAGTGACACAACACCGCTGTCTGTACTCACCCAGGGTAAAAGAAGCCAACAACTCCATCAGAGTGAGACATCTTCCCTAGTAAGACCATCAGCAGATCTCGCATCAGTTTCAGCAGTCAGAATGTCCCAGTTAAAATCTTATTTATATAATGTCAGTAAATCAAGCAGATCAAACCAACAGTTCTGAATCAGGACCTTCAGTATGTGAACCAAGTAGCCACTGGAAAATAAGGTGTGCCAACATCAGTAGGCTGTGTAAATACATGTCTTCAGCTGCTACTGTATGCATGCAGTATATTTATTTTTTCATTGTGTAAACTGGATATCTTTGGTACCTTGTAGCATGAATTATTGTGACACTAAGCAGAAATAAAAGGGCTGAAAGGACTCGTGTTAAATAAGCAAAGCCAGTGCTTGGTTCAGGTTAGATAAATAACAATGCCTCTAATATTTTTCATTTACTGACACCAGTGCCCAAAAAATAAATATTAGTATAGAGCCCAGCCCTGTTGTCTTAATAACTTAAGGAGCCAGGGTGCCATGCATGGCTTAGGCCTATTTCCTTTGCTTTGGGGTGAGAAAAATGTTGTCACCTTTTTGTATCCTCACCAAGTGCATCCTCCGCCTCTGTGGAGAGGTCATACGCCCCTTATTTAGTGTTTTCAGGGCAGTGCTGGAGAGCACTGCCTAAAGATACTTCCACTTTAATCAAAAGTGGAGCTTTCAACGTCATGTCACAATGAATTCTGTGATATTGTGCCATGTTCCAGCTGGTTGGTTTATGGAGGTGGGTTGTAACTAGAGTCATATTGTGAGACATTTCAGCTAAAGATTTAAGGACTGTCAACTTCCATCTGGGAGAGCTCAGGATCAGACAAAGGCCTTAAAATCTGTTACCTAAAATTATACCATAGCAACCTGCAAAATGAAGAATCTGTTTAACATCATCCATTCTCATCTCTGACAGCTACTCTAGACGTTGTGAGTTCCGTGATTCCACTGACCAGTGGAAGTGAGGATACCCCGTTGGGAGGGGCATGAGATGTTGTCTGACATCACATGAAAAGGGTCTGTTGGGTAAACGGTGAAGACCGTAGCATTTGATTCACAGAATTTTTATACTCTTGAATGATTCTCACAAAGCATCTGCACTCATTTCTTGACATTGTTTGTCACCTGTCTGTGGATATTTGTGTTCAGGTACAGATTTGTGCGTTTGTGAGAGAGCTCACACAGCTTTGTTCAGGATCTGTAATCAAACCGGAAACTTTCCTTACTGCTTGTTATTCCTGTC